TGTTATAGTACAAATGGAACTAGAGAAATGATTTATTTTTCGAAGTAATCCTCGGTCCTGCCCTTAAATCCGATTTGTCCGAAGGTAAGGCAGAGGAAGAGACCCAAGTGCCACGTAATCAACCACAGCCAGAACTGTGAAGTGAGAGCTGGCGGAGTTGGGAAGTGAGCAAGCTCAGTTCCAATGCTCTCAAAGAAAAGACCCGTAAGACTCTTCCCGTTTATCGCCGGAATACTCGATGGAGCTAACCATCCGATCAGTCCAAACCCTACCACGTTCAGATCTCTCCTCAACCAGTTCCTCTCAAAGCTTTACACAAATATAATTATTATCATTAGAGAAATACTCAAAAACAAGTATTCTTCCTAAAGATATGTGAAATTTTCTAAGCAAATTAATTATGAAGAGAACATAAAATTGTTATCTATCATTAGCGAAGTACCCTAAAGATATCTCAAAACAACTTTTCTTCCTAAACATTTGAAAATGTGATTCTTTTTTAGAAAATAAAGAGTAACTCACCAAGTGAATCTTCCTCCAGATGCACCGGCGAGTCTTAGAGGGTTCTTTGCACTTAATGTTGGTTTTAAAAAGGCTAAAAACAAGACAAGAAGTTACAATGAATATTATTATATATGTTTGATCCAAAATAATGTGTGTGAGAGAGAGAGAGAGTACATGAAGAGAATGGTTTGGAGTTGATGGGAGAAACTGATGATCCGGCGAGGCCAATCACCGTCGATGGGGTTGCAAATGTTGCTGCCATTTTGTGTTCTTCTTTCGAGTCTTTTCTTCCAATACTGATCTCCGCTATTATTTTTTTTAGGTGAATGCAATACAAAAATAAGAAATAGATTGATTTTGTGGACGTAGAGAGAGATTACGAGGATGTGTTATCAATCAATAGCTTTGTGACACCTCACTATTTTCTTTGATATTGTGGGGTCTTATTTCTTGGATAAGATTTTATTATCTAGATTTTCTTTTCCCATTCATGTCTCTAACTCTAACTATGATTTATTTGTTGTAGAAAACTAAAATGTTGTCAAGAATTCAGACTCATAGCATTTTAGTGTTTGGCTAAATGCAAATAGTTCATGCAAAAAATTTGTATTATTTTTTTAGTTTAATCATGTTAGTTTAGACTTGACAAACAATATGCTAGAGAATTTCACAAAACACATTAGAAAAGAGGATGAATAAACTACTCTGACGATTACATTTACTTTGAAAACTAGTCTGATTTTGGTTTAGATCAACTGGTTATTAAAGTAAAAACCGGTCCTCTTTTTAATTGTGTAGTTAATTTGGTTTAAATAAATTAATCCCCCAAAAATAAAAACTCTTCCGTTTTCCGGCGAAATGGACTACAGCTTAGCGGCGGTGAAGATGCTTAGTTCCCAGCTCCGGGACGCTAAATCGACGCCTTCGCAAAACTCCACCTCCCTAGGCGGTGTACTTTTTCAACGTGCTTGGTTACAGGTTCCTCCGATCTCTCATTCTCTCAATTTTCCCATCCCCAAATCGTTTCGACGAGATCGATTTCTTGTTGTTACAGGGCGTTTTGGTCTCCAATCCGGTCATCTCCGGCGATAACCGTATGGTCCTAGATGACGGGACCGGTCTTGTCGAGCTTAGCCTCTCCAGCGACTTTGCTATCCGTCAATGGAAATCAGGAATGTACTTGATGGTTGTTGGTGTATACGTTATCCGTAATGGAGATATACCTCTGCTCAAGGTTTATATTCCTCCTTCTTTCATCTTTGATAACTTGCAACTTTTAGGTCTTTGATTATGCTTTTCCTCATATTGCACATCGGATCAGTCAATGTGATATGATTCTTTTGTGGTTTTAGTTCGGCTAGTGATTAAGCATATAATCAGTAGCATATAATCGAGGTTGAAGCTAGATGTGACATGAAGAAGCATATAATCAGTAGTGATTGAGATTTATCTTCTCTTGTGATGTTAGACTGAGAGTATCATCAGAATCAACAGCTGTTAGTTGTCCTGCATTTACATGCAGTGCTTTGATTTTATGGGATATTACTGAAACTGTCACTGTTGTTTTAACTGAAACCAGGTTCATAAGATGGTTGACCTGTCGGGAAGCCCGGATCGTGAAGCCATGTGGTACTTAGAAGTCATGGACGCATACAGACGGTTCTATGAGCCCTTGATTCAAGAGTTCTCTTGATTCTTTAGTTAACTTTTTATTCTGTAGATTTTCCCTCAGAGAAAGATCAATACATGATTGTCTCTTCTCACTCTTTTGGTTTTAACAGGCCAGACTAATGATTTTTGTTGAGAATTCATTGAGTCATG